GCTCTGGGTGAGTGATCACATCATCATGGTTATCTGGGTCATGAAGATCTTTTTATATAATTCTTCTGTGTAGTCTTGCCACCTCTTCTTAATATCTTCTGCTTCTGTTAGGTCCATACCATTTCTGTCCTTTATTGTGCCCATCTTTGCATGAAAAGTTCCCTTGGTATCTCTAATTTTCTTGAAGAGATCTCTAGTCTTTCCCATTCTATTGCTTTCTGTTGTTTCTTTGCATTGATCACTGAGGAAGGCTTTCTTATCTCTCCTTGCTATTCTTTGGAACTCTGCATTCAAATGGGTATATCTTTCCTTCTCTCCTTTGCCTTTTGCGTCTTTTCTTTTCTCAGCTATTTGTAAGGCCTCCTTGGACAACCATTTTGCCTTTTTGCATGTCTTTTTCTTTGGGATGGTCTTGATCACTGCCTCCTGTACAATGTTGTGAACCTCTGTCCATAGTTTTTCAGGGACTCTGTCTATCAGATTTAATCCCTTGAATCTATTAGTCACTTCCACTGTATAATCATAAGAGATTTGATTTAGGTCATATCTGAATGGTCTAATGGTTTTCTCTACTTTATTCAATTTAAGTCTGAATTTGGCAATTAGGAGTTCATGATCTGAGCCACAGTCAGCTCCCAGTCTTGTTTTTGCTGACTGTATAGAGCTTCTCCATCTTTGGCTGCAAAGAATATAATCAATCTGATTTTGGTATTGATCATCTGATGATGTCCATGTGTAGAGTCTTCTCTTGTGTTGTTGGAAGAGGGTGTTCGCTATGACCAGTGTGTTCTCTTGGCAAAACTCTGTTAGCCTTTGACCTGCTTTGTTTTGTACCCCAAAGCCAGATTTGCCTGTTACTCCACGTGTCTCTTGACTTCCTACTTTTGTATTCCAATCCTGTATAATGAAAAGTACATCTTTTTTGGGTGTTAGTTCTAGAAGGTCTTGTCGGTCTTCATAGAACTGTTCAACTTCAGCATTACTGGTCGGGGCATAGACTTGGATTACTGTGATATTGAATGGTTTGCCTTAGAAATGAACAGAGATCATTCTGTCATTTTTGAGATTGCATCCAAGTACTGCATTTCAGATTCTTTTGTTGACTATGATGGCTACTCCATTTTGTCTAAGGGATTCTTGCCCACAGTAGTAGATACAATGGTCATCTAAGCTAAATTCACCCATTCCAGTCCATTTTAGTTTGCTGATTCCTAGAATGTCGACGTTCACTCTTGCCATCTCCTGCTTGACCACTTCCAATTTGCCTTGATTCATGGACTTAACATTCCAGGTTCCTATGCAGTATTGCTCTTTACAGCATCGGACTTTACTTCCATTACCAGTCACATCCACAACTGGGTGTTGTGGCCCAACCTTTGGGTTCCAACCATTCTGGCCCAGCATGGCCCTGCCCATCAGAACAAGACCCTGTTTCCCCCTCAGTCAGTCTCTCCCATCAGGAAGCTTCCATAAGCCTCTTATCCTTCTACATCAGAGGGCAGACAGAATGAAAACCACAATCACAGAAAACTAACCAGTCTGATCACATGCACCACAGCCTTGTCTAACTCAATGAAACTATAAGCCATGCCGTGTAGGGCCACCCAAGCCAGACGGGTCATGGTGGAGAGTTCTGACAAAACATGGTCCACTGGAGAAGGGAATGGCAAACCACTTCAGTATTCTTGCCTTGAGAACCCCATGAACAGTATGAAAAGGCAAAAAGATAGGACACTAAAAGATGAACTCCCTAGGTCGGCAGGTGCCCAATATGCTACTGGAGATCAGTGGAGAAATAACTCCAGAAAGAATGAAGAGATGAGCCATAAAAACATGGATGAGCCTAAAAACATTTTGTAGAATGAAAGGAGTCAGACACAAAAAAGCATGGATTCCATTTATATGAAGTTTTAGAACAGTCTAATCAGTGGTGAGAAAAAGTTAAAACAGTGTTTTCCACTGGGGGGACAAGGGCCGGAGTGACTGGGAAGAAGGAAGATTTCCGGCAGGAAGGGTCATGATCAGCATCTTGGCAGGTGAGGGTCCCACAGATGTGTGCATTTGGCAAACTCCTCCTGTTTCCAAATCAAAGTTGAGTCCATTGGTCTGCTGGCAGGAAGGCCAATCTACTGACTCCAGGTTGTAGTGAAGGAAAGTGCAGCACGTTTATTGCAGGTTCCAAGCAAGGAGTCCAGGCAGCTAGTGCTTAAAAGGCCCGAACTCCCTGAAGGCTCTCAGTGAAAGGGTTTTAAAGACAGGATGAAGGAGGGGGGCTGTGGGGTGTGTGACTAGCTCGTGGACATTTTCCTGATTGGTTGGTGGTGAGGTCATCAGAAGTCAACATCGTCAACCTTTGGGTTCCAACCGTTCTAGGGTCTCTATGCTTGTGGGCAGCAGGCAGTTGACTTCTTCCACCTGGCGGGGTTTCAGTATCTGCAAAACAGCTCACAGAACATGGTTCAGAATGTTATTAGAGCCCTTAAGGAAAAACTAAAGGTCCTTGACTTTGTTTAATGGCTAAACTATTATTTTGTCTTACTTGACTGTTTTCCTTTGCTTCTGCATTTTCTCAGTCCTCTGATTAAATTTATTCTTTGGACCTTGGGGAAGGCCCAGGAAGCTAGAGTTTTTCTACAAACAAGAGGCAGGCAGAGGTCATGGAGGGGTACCTGTCCTGGGAAAGCCTCATAGGGTCCTGCTCAGTTGCAATCCAATGGGACACTGAAGATTTGTGTATTTCATTGTGTGTAGATTTTAATCTTAAAAGAAAAAAGAAGAATTATAAACAGATTAAACTGCAGTTATGATAAACATGCTGAAGTGTACAAATGTCTGCAGCTATTTTCAAGGCATCAAAAATAATAAAATAGGTTGATGCATGGTCTGAGGGATGGGGAGATGGACAGATATGTGATAGAGCAAGTGTAAAAGAATGCTGGTGGTACACTCGAGGCAGTGGGTATGCAAGTGTTCACTGCAAATTCCCTCAGCTTTTCTCTGTTTGAAAACGTTTACAATACAATGTTGGGGGGAAAATATAGCTCCAAAATAAGTGCACAAAGGGCTGTCTTTGGAGATACTGGGAGGACTTTGCTTCGCTGTGACCAGCAGGAGGTGGTGAGCGCCTGGTATGCACATGTGTTTCTGGAGTCCCGGTGCCGTGCTGGGCGCCATGGGTTGGACGATGCTGGCAGAGCTGCAAGTTTCTGAGTCAAATGCTACTTGTATGTCTACGGGTCTAGACCAAGTGTCAGGTCCTGATGTGGGGGTTGAGATTATCTACTTCTTCGAATTCCTGGTGATTCTTGTCTTTGGGTATTTCACAGACCAGGGGGGAGTCAAAATACTCATACAAGGAAGATTTAATTGCCGCAGTTTTGGTGTTTGGTAGGAGTGCTGCTGGGCTCCGGAGATGGAAAAGTGAAGGGGGCTGGACCAGCCAGCTGGAGGCTGGAGGGTGGGAAGGAGGGGACAGGATGTCCCTACAAAGGGGCCACAGGAAGAGTCAGTGTGGGGTGTTGCGGGGTTGGGGGGACCAGGGCTGTATAAGACAGAGGTGGAAACGAGGGGTTCCATAGGTTGGAGGCAGACTTTAAAAGTCTCTGAAAGTCAGGACTGGGGGATTCTCAAAATAATCAGACCAGGGAGCCATGGATGGTTCCAAAGCAGGGGTTACCCTGGGGTGGGATGTGAATCTGGACACAGAGTGGAGTTAGAGGAACCAGATGGGTCACGGGAAGGGGAGACGGTGGCCTCTGAGGAGAGAGCTCACGGAGGCTGGTGTCCTGGATGGGGTGGAGTGGGAGCAGCCAGGGCTTAGGTCTGCACCCACATGGACTCTTTCCTGGCCCCTGGCAGGTTGGCCCCCAGCAGTGTGCCTGGGCATCGAAGGCTTTGCGGCAAGCGGAGGCGGGGATGGGACCTCGCAATGTCTGTCTTCACTGAAGTCGCTTAGTCCTCCGGGACTCAGGCTGATCATCCCTCCCACCCTGAGCGGAGACCCTCAGGCCGTAGGGGCAGTGTCCCACCTCTGTGTCCCACCCGGCCAGCTGCCCAGAGTGGACCCCAGCCTCAGCTCAATCTTCCCTCTCTCCCCTCATCCCTTCCTAAGTCCTGTGGTTCTTCCTCTGTGGGGCACAGTGGGGGCCGTCACCCGGCAGCAGGACTGTTAGTAACAGGAGAGGATTTTGGAAACAGCAACACCCTGAAATTGTGCACAAGACGCAGTGCTGGAAGGAAAGGGATTTGGGGCAGTTTCAGCCTGTATGTGATGCCAGAAGGCAGGAGAGGGGAGAGGGGTGTACACAGGCCCTACCCAGAAGTCAAGAAAGAGAGATGCAAAAAGAGAGAAACCTACAAATATTGAATTCTTGCCAAGATGTCTCTCCCACAGCCAGGCAGGCCTCTCACTGTCTGAAGGCAGAAGTGGGGTGTGGGGTTGAGTGATCAGGAGACACAGGGGTGAGTGACCAGGAGGTCAGTGGGCGAGTTGGATGCTCACAGAGGGAGCCTAGCAGAGGGTACTTGAAAGGTAGGGAATCTTGAGCCCCTGGGAGGGGGCGCCCCCTCTGACCTGCATGAAGATGGACAGGGTGCTCAGACTCCTTGGCTGAGCATGTCCTGTGCAGTTACCTCTGCCAACGTCAGCTCACGGCAACCTGGAGCCATCCTGGAGTGGGTCAGGCACCGTGGGGGCTCCATAATAGAGATAAGGAAGCTGAGGCTCAGAGAGGCTGAGAAAAACTGGACCCAGCTCCGAGGGGAGATGTGTCGGATCCAGCCCAATGTTGGACCCCCACCACGTACTCTGGAGTCAGATGCCAGGTGCCCCCGGGCTCTGTCCTACACCAGGCACTCCACCATCCTGGCTCTTGTGATCGTCCAGCCTCCTGTTTTACAGACGAGGAAACTGAGAGTCAAAGGTGATGCCCACTCATGGCCAAAGCACCCCCGCGGCCCAGCGTTCAGGTCCCCAGACCACCTCTTCCTATGCAGCTCACCTGGGGTCCTGTCCCCACCAGGGGCTCCTCCTCCCTCCATGCCCCCCACGCCCACTCTGGCAGGAGCCCGCGCAGCCGCTCCCGGAATCGTTCATACCCGTCAGCGGCAAGCAAACAAACTCCCCGCTCCATTTATTTCACAAGTCTCCCGATTTAATTAGGTTTTCCAGTTTTCTGCCTGTCCTGGGCCAGTCACTCCTTGGAGCAGTGGAGAATTCATTTGCACCTGCTGTCAGAAAGCGGCTCTCCCCAGTTAGAAAAATAATTAAGCCATCATCACACATCAGGGGTAATGAATCACCATTTCTCACTCAGTTCGCAGGTCGTTTGTTTCCCCTGCACTGGCGAAGGAGGTGCAGACTAAATTTGAGCAGCTGCCAAATGGATCCCCCTCCCCTTGCTCCCCTCTTCCCTCTCCTCTCTCCCCGGAGACCCCACTTTCTCCTTGATTGGTGCCTCCGGCCGGCAGCCTCTGAGGACACAGGGCTCTCCCAGGGCCTCTAGCCTGGGCTCCAGGTGGCAGGCCACGAAATCACCTGCTTCTGCTTTTTCTCGGGCACCTGACTCCCAGGTGGCCACTGTCCGGGTAACCTGGGAAGGTGTCACCTGAATGAGACCTGTCTGAGTTTCCTAGGGCAGCCTTAACTAATGTCCCCAACCTGGGTGGCTTAAAACTACAGAAATAGATCATCTCATGGTTCCGGAGGCCAGAAGTCTGAAATCAGGTGTCAGTGGGGCTTCAGAGACGGATCCTGCCTGCCTCTTCCAGTTCCTGGGGTTGCCGGCTGTCCTTCGCATTCTTCGGCTGGTGGACCCATCACCCCATCACTGCCCGAGTCATCACGTGACCCTCTCCCTGGTGTCAGGGACCCCTTTCCTTTCTCTGTCCCTGTCACAGGGTTTATGGACCACTCTAATCCAGGATGATCTCATTTGGAGATCCTACCTTAATTTCACCTGCAAAGGCTATTTCCAAATAAGGTCCCATGTACAGGTCCTGGGGGTTAGGACATGGACATATGTTTTGGGGGAGGGATGGGAGACACAGTTCAACCCACTTCAGGTTCAACCTTTCAGGTGGTTGTGTTCTCAGATACTCCCACACCTGGACACCACCAGGATCCCAAGAGATTCTGCATGTGTGTACACCCAGCAGTCTGGCTCCTTTCCCAGGCAAATTCCATCTCAGGACAGGCAGGCCAGCAATTTGGAGACCTGGGGCTGGTGTGTCAAGCTACTGCATCTGGCTTTCAGTCCCATGATGATGTCTGAGTGGGCACTGCCCATAACCCACTGCATCAGGTGCCATGGGGCTCACAGACCGGCAACCCCATCTGGAAGCTCACAGTCGTGGAGCAAGCTCAGCAGAGCTCGGACATCGGTACTGGGGTTGGAAGGTGGGATAAAGATGGGCTGGGGAGCATGGGGTGTCCTCTGCCTTCAAAGGGACAGAAAGGAATCTAGACCCCCTCCTTCCATCGTCACCCCTTCCCTTTGCCCTCAAGGCTTCAAATGTGGCTCAGCTGGTAAAGAATCTGCCTGCAATGCGGGAGACCTGGGTTCAATCCCTGGGTTGGGAAGATCCCCTGGAGAAGGGAACGGCTACCCACTCCAGTATTCTGGCCTGGAGAATCCCATGGACTGTATAGTCCATGGGGTCGCAAAGAATCAAACACAGCTGAGCGACTTTCACTTCACTCACTCTGCCTTCAAACGCAAGGTCTCGATGGGAACACATACAGAGCATGCCCTTCTGGGCGGCTAAGATTCAGGGAACCCTCCAGAGATGCGAGGCCACACCTGTTGGTCTGAGCCTTGCTCCCGAAAGAAGCCAGGCTGGCAGGAGACTCCAGGACATTTGTGGAGGGAAGGAAGCAAAGAAGCTCCGTGAGTGTGTCCTTTGCTGGCACAGAGACCCTGAGTTACATCATTAACAAACTTGAAAAAAAATTCTGCATTTTCTTGACCCTCTAAAGGTGGTGTTCTTGACTGATTGACCGACTGATGGCTTGCTTGTGCCCGTGGTTCCCGAAGAAGTCTTTCCTTTGGAATTTAACTAGTTTTCTTGCCTTTTCTTTCCTTGCTCCCTGTTTTGGTTGAAGTTCACGACCTGTTCTGGGAGGTAGTACCCACGTTCCGCCACCTGGTGGCGCAGGCCAGCCACCAGCCAGAAAGAGTTGCCGAGGTTTTATCTTCCTATTTGAACATTGGGTATGAATTCATCAACCCACTGAATCGTTGTCATTCTGGAACCAGCCCCTGGGGTGAACCCAATCTGGCTGACTATTATGGAAGCAGCATCTCAAGAAGTTTCACTGCCGCAGATGTAAAAATGAGCGCACCCAGGTTTCTCTGTTTGGGAATGACAGGTTTTTAAGATGTGTTTTCTTGTTTCTGTCTGGAGGAGGATTTCTTGATGTCAAGGAGACTATTCCCTCCCCATGTGACAGCATCTGGGAGCAGCTTTTGGGGCGTCTAGCTCAGATCAGGAGCGTGGGCACTGGGGTTTAATTTTGGCTTCCAAGGTGGCTTGGCTCTGATGTAGAGACCCTCTAGGGTCAGGGTGGTCAGGAGCTGCCAGGGGTCTTGGGAGAGGCCCTACCCCAGCTAACACGTGTTTTTGCAGTGGCTGCTGCAGTCAGGGGCTGCTTACCTGTGAAATGGCCCTGTGGGGGGTCACCTCTCTGTGTGAGAGCTGGAAGCATGGGGGCACCCCACTTCCCACAATATCTGCCTAGCACCTACGGGCATTCTACAGTCAGTGCCCTCCATATCCACAGGTTCCATATCTGCAGATTCAACTAAATTCAGATTGAAAATATCGGGGAAAAAGAGAGTCCCCTGAAAATTCTAAAAGGCGAAACTTGAATTTGCTTCCTACTGGCAATTATCTACATAGTATTACATTGTATCAGTATTATAAGTAATCTGGAGGTGATTTGAAGTATTTGGGGGTATGTGCATGCATTATATGCAAATTTGTTGTTGTTTAGTCTCTGAGTTGCGTCCAAATTTCTTTCGACCCTATGGGCTGTAGTCCGACAGGCTCCTCTGTCCATGGGATTCTCCAGGCAGGAATACTGGAGTGGGTTGCCAGGCCCTCCTCCGGGGGATCTTCCCAACCCAGGGACTGAATCTGCGTCTCTTGCATTGGCAGGTGGGTTCTTTACCATTGAGACTCCAGGGAAGCCCTATATGCAGATACTGCGCCACTTTATATATAGGACTTGAGCATCATAGATTCTGGTTTGGAGGGGCTCCTGGAACCAGACCCCTGAGGGCTGACTGTATTTCTATCAGTCTGTCTGTGCCTTCTGCCCGTCCTTCATTCCTCCTTCCATCCTCATCCCATCCACTTGCCTTTGTTCACTCTGTGGGAAGCCCTGAAGTCAGTGAGCCTGAGCTTCTAGGTCTCTCAGTTCGTCTCTTCATTGTCAGACTTTTCCCCACCCCACCACCCAATCCCAGGGTCTCAGTCCCGATCCCACCCGTGACACTGAGTGTGGCTGGAGGCCCAGAATCCAGCCATCCCTCATCACTTCCTCTGTCACGTCCGTGAGTCGAGCTGCAGGGCAGATGGGTCTGGAGGTCTCGGACATTTTCTGAGCTCTCTCTGGGGTCCGGGAGCTGGAGTTGGACTGTTCTGCATAGAGAAAAAGGAGAACTTCACTTCAGGGAAAGAAAAGATTCTTTGTACCATCTGGGCCATTTGTCCATCTGGGGGAAACACTGGCTCGTGTGCCCCTGAGAAGCGAAATGGGAACAACGGTGAAGACACAAGAAAGTAGGTTGTCATCAGGGACGTTACTTAGCACATTACCAGCATCATTCCCACAAAATTGCAGGGAGATTCCCTCCTTCCCCCTTTCTATCCTCTGGGCACTTGCATGGCCATCACATGGGACTTTTGCCACATTTAATGATCCCTGACGTTCAGGGTTCTCCCTATGACAGCAACAAAAAGATAAAACCCAACAACACCCTCCATGTGAAGCCATCACAGTCGTAACATGGTCACCACCACCTCCCCCCTCTCTACAAAAGCTAAATGTAGACCCTCGTGTTCTGATCATAAATGTGAGCAGTCACAGAGGCTAAAGTGAGGACTTCCCAGCCAAGTACGCGGGGGAGCACCCTGAACCTCTGCGCCTTTTCCCCTTGTGCAAAATGGGGTGAGATTATCCTCTTTATTAGTGTCCGGGGGCTGCCTTAGCAACGTCCCACAAACTGGGGCACTTGAACAACAGGAACAACAGCTCCTCTCACAGTCCAGAAGCCTGAAGTCTGGAATCGAGGTGCCAGGGGGCCACCCCCCTTTGGGACTCTGGGTAGAATCGTCCCTGGCCCCCCAGCCCTGGTGGCTGCCGGCAAGCCCGGCCCCTGGGAGCATCTCTGCAGCCTCTGCCTGTCACCAGTGACTGTCTTCTCCCCACACCTCTGTCTTCACAGTGTCTTCCCCCTTCTTTTAAGGTCAACGGCCATATTGGGTTAGGGCCCACCCCAATGACCTCATCTTAACCAGATTCCTATCTGCACAAATAACATCACATTCAGAGGTCCCGGGGGCTGAAACTCCAATGTGTCTTTCGAGGGGACAGAATTCAACCCATAACATCCACCTCACAAGTTGGGAGTTAATGACTTCACATGTAGAAAATGGCTAGAGTCATGTCTGGACTTAGTAACTGTCAGCTGTGCTAATTATTGTTGTGTGTGTCAGCTTTCCTCTGGATGGTGTAGATTTCTCAGCCTTGGCACGACTGACATCAGGGCCGGGTCGTTCTTGGCGAGGGACTGTCCTGACCTCTGTTTACTGAGCACCAGCACCCCCACCCTCCATCCAGTCCAGGCTCGCTGTCCCTGGAACCAGGTGGCCGGCCTCTGCGCCGGTGGGGGCAGGTTTGGGAGGAAGGAGCTGATCTTGTCCCAGGTGAAGACTTGGTGGTTTCTCTGGAGGTGCTCGTGGTCCTTGGCAGGACCTGGGTTCTGAGCTCACTCCCCAGAGCCCGGGAGTCTGTCTGTCTGTCCTCATCTTGCTGGTGCTTGATCCCGCTGCTGGAGCAGGAAGACCGTGGCTGGCAAAGCCTCTGTCACC